TCGGATTCATTTACCGAAGCCATCGTCGATACTTCATCCTAAAAATGTCTTCAGTTTTTGCCTCATTGTAAGCCAATTGCTTTTAAGCATTCTTAATGGCCTTACTAGCCGGTATGCCATTAGCATGTGCTACTTAAGAGTGTCTCTACTCCTGCTCCGAAGTTCTCGACATTTTAACTTCGAGGGACGATGTGCATCAGTCCTCGACTTAAAAGATCCGCAAGAAGGCTAAATAAAGTTCTGTGCCGAAGCTAGACGGCTTTGAACGAAAAATATTTTTAAAAAAAAAAGCCAAAAAAGAGGGAAATCGGTGTACGGATTCCATGTTAGTGATGCTAGCAATATGATTTCAGGCGCCAAATGGGGTTATGCCAGACCTTTCAACTCTGAGCTGCACATTTATAGTTAAATGTCACTGCCATTTCGACGTATGCACAACACTCCAGCCGAAATGAAAAGAGGATTTTTCATGTTTTTTTCGGCAACAAATTTGTTTAAGGGTCACTGAAGTCCCGTCATGCCCCATTAATGTTCCAAAATTTGTCACCCAAAAAAAAAAAAAAATCGCCGGTAGCTTCGGAAGAAAATAATGCCATGAGAAAGGAAGTTAACTTAAAGCAACGATATATCGGGGCATTTTTGATGGGGAAATTCAAAAAGTTACCTCGTCGTCTTCTTCACTTACTATTGTCCATGAATTCTCTTCGCTTTCGAATTTTATCACACGTCGTAAAAAGTTGTCGCGACCTCTGCAAAAAAGGGAGAAAAATCAGAGTTAAATGTTTCCATTATTCAATTTCAAATGAGGAAAGCTCATCTATAAAGCTCAGCCATGAAAATGATAAGGTTGTCTACTAAATCATTGAAGAAGCAACAGTAAATTAGTAGTTGTTTCAAGCATCAACTTGACAACCCCCGATCACTAAAAACAAAAAGCTTTCTTTGTTAAATTTTTCTACAAAACACTACTTCAGTCAACTTTCGTCATCAAATTCGTAAATACTGTCAAAAATGGTTGATAGACGTAATCTGTACCGTATCGGTGAGAGGAGTATGCTGAGCATTGCTATGCAATTATCAATAATGAAACGATCGTTGATCGAGTCGATCGCAATATATGACTGAAGCAGCGGAGCCGCCCACTGAGCTACCGGGGAAACAAGCCGCAACAGTTGACATAGTAAATATTGCTGATCATCAGATGTACATGCTTTCAACAAAACCGATCCCTGAAGATATATGGTGAACTGTGTGTGTGCGAGAGCGGTACTTCTGATGGTGGACAATCATTATCAGTTTAAGGTGTTAGCTCAAATTCCCGCCACGTCTCGCTGCTTCAATTTAAACCTAAAAACCACTAAGCTGATTCTTGCATGGTTGTAGCATACTAGTAATAGGGCAAGACTAGAACTAACTGTGTATGTATAGACGTAGAAATATAGCTGGTGTAGAAAAAATGAGTGAGTAAGAGTTAAGACGTTTCGGTCCTTTAAGTCATATACGTCTTAGCTCAACACCGCAACTGGACCTCGTCAGTATGACGGTCACGGTGTTCAGAGATGACTGGAAAAAGAGTTGCCGCACCAAGTTGCCACACTTTATGACTAAGCAGTCTGACACTCCGTTTGGTTGGCTGTTTGCAGTATATCATTGTGAACAAAAATAGTATATTATTGCTTATATCAATATTTAAAAACAGTACATCATGGTATGTCACTGCGAACATTATATCACTGTTTGTAGTATATCATTACCCGAAAAAAAGAAATCGTGCATCCGAAAGTTCGCAATTCATGCATT